AGCAGGAATTATTATTTCCTGCTGCAGCTGTAAATAGATCCATCACAGCTTGTTCTTTGTTATTCCCCCTTCATCGCTCATCCTTGATGAAGCCTGTGCTTTGCCTCAGGTCTGGCAGACACCCGGCTGTGCCAGCGAGCCGTTGCTGTGTGAGCTGGGCACCGCGCTCAATATCAGGTAGCAAAGACTCAAAGCAGAGGGCTCACCACCAAGCCAGAGATGGGAAGTTATTCATCTCGACTAATTGCTGGTTTCAGCAATGTTTGCTGAATTCGGGAATGTATTGTGGGTGATTCACAAGGAAAAGAAAAGGATTCGCAAGAAATACTGTTGACAATGAATAATTCAACTAGCTTGAATATGAATGCTGGGTTACACTTAACTCTCTCCCAGAGACTTTTTTATGGCTCTGTGAAAGGAAAGAGGAAATTCGGGATGAGCCAGCCAGGCTCCACTCGGGGAACCCTTGTACCTATGGGAAAACCCCGGTGCCACAGCGGGGAGCACGGAGGGATGGAGCTGGTCCCGCAATTCCAGAGAAGATTGGGCTGTCCCACAGGCCTGGAGGGAGCCGAAATGGGGTGCGAGAGGTGCTGGTGATGCCTCGTAGCATGGCCGCTAGCCCCTGCCAGCCCTGCTGTGCATTTAAAAGTCCCTCCTGCCTGTCCCCAAAAGACCAGGCAAAGGAACTGCTCAGGCAGGCAAATGGAGTCATTCACGGGGCGAGTGGGAATGGGATCAAGGCAGGGCCAATGGTTGTGTGGGGAGAAGGTATCGTTACTACTGTTAATGTATAACCCTAATAGCACTCACCTGAGCCATGATTAGATAAGGGAATAGCTTTAATGTGCTGTGCAAACCCCAAGGGACGCGCTCCTGAGTGTGCACCCACACGCACTCGTGCATAGGCAGTGTGGATGGGGGATGGATCCCCCAGCCTGGATGTGCTCCCCACGGCAGCTCTGTCCCAGGGGATGGAAATGCTGGAGCTCCTGCCCTGGACCGGGGCATGAGCCTGGCAGGGGAAGGGAAAACCAAACCACATCCCTGTTTCCACCATCCTGGGTTCTGCAACCTCCTGGGCATGGCCGAGGCTGACAGGGAGGTGGCAAGTCACCCTCTCCAGCCCTGGCTTGTTCAGAGGATGAGAAACTTGCCCCAGACACCCTAACAGATAGGCAATATGGGGTATTTTGAGGCTGGGAACAGGAGGGAAGAGGCAAGTTCAAACCAGGGAGGAAAGAGACTGCGGGATGGCAGTGGCACCCTGGGAGGAGGTGGAAAAGCAAGGGAGCAAGAGCTGACATACATTTTTTGGAACCTGTCTTTTCCCCAGTCCTGCAGAGCGACACACCCAGCATGGTGAGCACAGCACGGAGAAGGGGAGATCAGGCCAGTGAACGGAGGATCCCCCTCCCCAGGACTCTGCCCTCCCTGCCGTGGCAGGAGCAGCACAGCCACCAGCAACAGCGAGGAGCGTCAGCCCACACGTTTTTCTAAAGGTCTCTTATTTCACAGGTCAAAGCAGCTCAAAATTGCAGCAGCTGCAAAACCCTGGCTCGTGGGAAGGCACCTCGCAGCCATCAGGGCTCCGATCAGGGCAGCTGGGGTACGGCAGCCCCGACCCGCTCACCCAGATGAGAGCCCAGCACGGTGCTGGCTGTCGTGCCCCATCGCAGAGGTCCTCGAGGGGACACGGGTGCGTTGCTTGGCTCTTTGCACGGGAGGTGCTGGCATGAGGGATGAGGGAGTTGCTGCCAGGCCGTCCGGCCCCGCGGCTTCTCAGCAGCTCTGCATGCCCGGCTGCGCTGCATGAGTGGCGTGGAAAGTCTGGGCAACCTGAACAACTCTGGCCATGCTGGCTTCACCTGTACAGCCTTGTCTGCCCATCTGTCTGTACTGGCTGCCTGGTACCACATTATCTGATGGCACTACAATATTTTAATGCTGTAAAACATCAGGTGTGAAAGTCCTGTCACCAGTGAGCACCGAGGGAAAGAATTCATCCGCACTGGAGTTAAAGTGCAGCAAGATGGAATGCAAAGCTGTGCCCCCCGGGTAGGGGCTTTCTCTTCCTGTAAAAGCTGCTTCATACTGAATGAGCAGCATCTGGTCTCAAAGAAGATAAAACCCTCATTTCTC